GGTTTGGAAGAATGGAAGTGTGGTTTTTGGCCGAAGCTAGTGGCCTTTGTTTGTAGTAAAGGTTCTTAGTCAAGACCATAGAACCTTTGGGTTTAGGTTGAAGATGTAGGACCTAATGCCATGTTTACCACCACAAAAAAAGCCTTTTACACATGTCTAAGACAAATGCCAGTCATTTGAAATTGTGTCTACTACCTCCGGACAAGCTAGTGATGACAATCGTCCCACGAACTCTAGCATTTTGAGGTTGCCGCCGTGATGGAGAAAAGATAGGGTTGAGTGTTAATGATTGTGCACATCTTTTTGCACCAAAAAGGTCCCGACCCCACTGGTCGAGAGTAAGTGATTCATTCTTGTTTTGCATGTTCATGTCTTACCCCGGTGAGGACCTATGTTGCCCCGTTGTCTGTTCCTTGGACTTGAGTTCTATGCATGGTTAGTTGTGGTTGGTGAGTAGTCAGGTCGAAACTTGCATTGATTTGTGAACAAGGTGAGAACTTTTCATTTTCCCATTCTTGATGCAATCAAATGTCGTTTGTGGTGGATGCCGGTATTGTTTGAGGCGGTTCAGGGTTGATGCCCAATAGTCATTGAGATTCACTGCTTTGTGCCTTCTTTCACTTGTGTGTTTATAAATCCTAGATACAGTTATGTGAATGTTGGTATGGATTAAATGATTTGTGTGTCGTTGTATTCAATGTGAATGTGGAGGTATTATTCAAGAATGATTGTGTTCTGTGAAAGCATATCAATCTATTTGTCATTCTAACCTAGGTAGAGAGAAAACCCCTTTTCTTTGAAAGAGGCTTACAAAGCTAGGTTTTCTTAGGCAATTGATTGTCTCCTATCTAGGTTAATGAAGGGAAACCCTCTTAGTTCGTATTAGCACCTAGGGTTTGGTTGTGAGTGGCCGTCCGAACTCCGATTCGAGGGTGAAGTCTTGGCAACCCTTAGTCAACAGGTTGAGAGAGTTACGTTGGTGGCTTGAACCGAATTCCATCGACCTAAAGACCGAGAGAGTGGTGCTTGGCTACTTGTTGCACTTCTCTACAGTTTACAACCACCTTACCATGCATGACCATCGATCCGACAAGTCATAATTGTTAGCTAGGGGGAGCAAAACCCGATGAAGCCTTCTCCATTAGTGTCAAATCCATTTACTTTTCCAAACGTTTTAGCTATAGATTGTTGTTTTCACCAAAAATCAACCGCTAGATAACGTATCAAACAGTTGAAGTAGGGGTACATGAACCGTCCCAGGTCGACATTTAAACATACTTGTCCTATATTGCACCCAATTAAGGTTTATTCTGGGCCTTAATTGGGAGTTTACTGCGGTATTCGGGACGAGTCACCACATCATGTTCAGATCGACAATCAGCCCACCCAATGTTGTCCCTCTTCTCCCTCAACTATTTGTTAATCCAAACTGAGCTTGACTTCCGGCATAAAGTTGGGTTTTCGTCCTCCGCATCATGCATTCTCATCCCCAAAAGCAGCCCCTCTCATCATTTGCTTCCATAAGTTGGGAGTGCAGAGGTTGGGTAAAATCAATCATCACCCGAACCTTCACAAAACATATTTTCGTATTCTGACAGGCTAACATGCCAACCTCAAGGACAAGTCCAATAGTGGCATTCACCACTTTCCGACCGGATTGCTGAGTACAGCAATCCTAATTCACACCCCACAACTGTACTCTGAACGAGACGAGAGCCAGTTCATCAAAGACTCCCTTTTTAATGTTTGGAGTCCACGTGCGCAGATGAAGAATTTCGTCTTTAATCACTGATAGCGTCGTATTTTCACATGTTTTCACTCTTGTTTCCTGACCATTTTAGCTCGAATTTGTGGTTTCTTGGCCTATTTTACGCTAGGTTGTGTTGTTTTGTCGTATTTCAGGTCCTAGCAAGTAAAAGGATGCATAGGCGCAAGTTTTTTTCGGGTCATTTGGAGGTCAGTTAGCGATTCAAGATGCAAATTACGGGCATCCCCTGCCCAATTAAGGGCGTAATTGCTTCTGCCCTGACCGTAAATGCAATGTCGAGCCAAATCCCTGAAATGTCTGTCGCATAGCAAATTACGGGCAAGATTGGATTCATTTACGGTCGTAATTACATAATTACTGGCAGTAAACTGAAAAATGACGACCGTAATTCCCTTCCACAGAGTTAAGTGAAACGCGCGTTTTGGGCGAAATACGGGCATACCATGTTTACGACCGTATTTCAGCCCGTATTTCGCCCATAATCGGGTTTTTGAGGCAGATTCGAGCCAAAGGAGAGGGAATCGAGTTTTTGAGGAAAAAACAGAGCTTTAGAGAGAGAAAGTGTGAAGAACAAACCCTAGGAGCTATTTGGAGTAGATTTCTCACCATTGAAGCCCAGATTGCGTCCCCAGGAGTGAAGATCGACATCCCATACCAGAATATCCAAATCTTTATGAGTATGACTACTCTGATTTCAGTTTTCCTCTCTCTCTCTCTATGGAGTAGAACCTTATCTCACTTGGGGATGAAGAACCCTAGTTCCATGTGTTAGGGATCTTGATTGTAATGACTTGGGATTGTTATACTAATTCGTTATAATTGATTGATGCATGATTGATTGAGTCAATTGAAGTCTGATAATTTTTTCTTGATTTCTACTGCAACCTGAGATAGATAGAATCCGATTAGGTTGTTAGAGCTTCATCAATCGGTAGTGGTAGATTGGTTATACGAGAGTTAATCGATTTACTGCGTTGTACTGCAACCCAATTCCAGTAGTGGAGTTCTGTGCATATTGCCTCAACAGTCTATCCCGGTGAAGGTTAGTCGCCTACCGATTAGCCTGCCTGAGAGGGCTTGGTTAGCTTAAGAGATTCCAAGCTACTGTCGGATCTTCCGCAGTTTAATCAACAGTTAATCAACCCAGGGTAATTACAACCTCGACCTAACTAAGGAGCTAGGGGGACTCATTCCCGAGTGACTCTTCCCTTGCTAAAGAACTTTGAACAATTTCCTGCTTTCTTACTGCTTTTAGTTAAAATCACAACCACTCGACTTAGTTTGCTAGATAATAAATAATCACGGAATAGGCAGTAGATCTAGGCCTCGGGTTGACAAATAGAGCTTGCCACTTACTGCATTTCCGGACTGCGATTACAGTTGGTCGCAGTTTGTGTTGTGTTTTTGCGTGTCAAGTTTTTTGCGTCGTTGCCAGGGACTTCTAGGTTATTGTGGAAACGTGAAAGTTTGTTACTCTAGATTTTTCTTTACTGCATTCTCTCTCTTCCACCTTTGTGCCTTCACAAGTTGTGTTTGCATTCTATGTGCAGGTAGTGCATGACCCGTAGCCAGTCGGGAGATTTACTACCATTAGACCAAGAGCTTGAACGGACTTGTAGGAACTTCAAGCGAGCGTTAAAGTCGCGATTGGCTGCGGAGGAAACTCTAGTACAGCTGCAAATCACCGAGGAGGAAGAAATGGGTGACCCACAGGACCATGATGTGGTCCTTCCTGAGGAGCAGACCATGGGGTATTACTGGACCGCCAGTGCTGTGGACATGAGGTCCCCCATTCAGCATCCTCATGTTCCAGCGAATAACTTTGAGGTGAGCACCTCTGTCATCACCATGCTGTGCGGTTCGGTGGTATTCGGTGGCAAGGAGGGGGAGTGCCCCCAATCACACCTGAGGCGATTCCACGAGCTCATCGATGGGATCAAGATCAATGGGGTTCCAGCCAATGCCATCCAGCGGAGGTACTTTCCATTTACTCTAGAGGGGCGCGCCAAGGAGTGGCTGGACACTCGACTTTCAGGCTCGATCACCACGTTCGCCACCCTTGAACGATGCACAAGAGAATTACACCACCACTAAGAATGAGCTCCTAGTTGTGGTGTATGCATTTGATATGTTCCGACCATATCTGGTGCTTTCCCATGAGGTGGTCTACACAGATCACTCGACGATTCGCTATCTGATGAGCAAGGCCGATGAAAAGCCTAGGTTCATCCGCTGGATCCTGCTTCTGCAGGAATTTGATATAGAGATCCGGGACGAGAAAGAAGCCGAGAATGTTGCTGCTGATCATCTATCACGGTTGGAAGCCCCTCCGGTGGACAACTTCGTGGAAGAGATCGATGACTCCTTACCGGGTGAGCGATTGCTGGCGATGCCATTAGTGGACAGCGTGGCCCCTTGGTATTCTGACTTTGCCAATTATCTGGTGGAAAAGCAGCTACCAAAGGGGATGGCCACTCATGCAAAGCGTAAGTTCTTCTCCGACCTGAATCATTACTTCTGGGAGGATCCTTACCTCTTCAGGATCGGAGCAGATGGCGTGATCCGGCGCTGCGTCATGGAGCACGAGATAGGAGACATCCTGTCTCAATGCGACGAGGGACCTACTGGAGGTCACCATGGAGGAAATCGCACGGCACGGAAGGTGCTACAGTCAGGCTTCTATTGGCCCTCACTCTTCAAGGATGCAGACACCTTCGCACGACAGTGCGACTGCTGCCAAAGGTCAGGTAACATTTCTTCCCGGGATGAGATGCCCCAACATACTTCTGTCATTTGTGAAATTTTTTATGTTTGTGGCATCGATTTCATGGGCCCATTCCCTCCATCCTTTGGCAATTTGTACATACTGGTTGCAGTGGACTACGTCTCCAGGTAGGCAGAAGCTCAAGCCATGCCCACTAATGATGCAAGACGGGTCTACTCATTTCTGAAGCAGCTGTTCTCTCGGTTCGAGACACCTCGCGCCATCATTATTGATAGAGGAACCCATTTTCAAGGGCAATTCACTAAACTCCTCTCTCGCAATGGTGTTAAGCATCAGGTGTCGGTGGCTTACCATCCCCAGTCAAATGGTCAAGCCGAGCTGACGAACCGGGAGCTTAAAAGAATAATTGAAAAAACGGTGGATTAGTCCCGCAAGGATTGGTCCACCAAGCTCGATGATTCTCTTTAGGAATATAGGACAGCCTACAAAAACCCGATTGGCACTTCCCCCTATGGGCTTGTCTATGGGAAGGCGTGTCATTTGCCATTATAGCTAGAGCACAAGGCCTTCTGGGCCTTTAAGTTGCTAAACTTGGATTTGAGTGTTGCAGGTACTGAACGTAAGCTGCAACTGTTGGAGTTGGAGGAATGGCGTTACCACGCCTACGAGAACACCCTGCTCTAAAAGAGCGAACCAAGCGTCTCCACGGCACTCGGTTGAATGTCCCGAAGGAGTTTCAGGTAGGTGATCGTGTTTTTCTCTTCAATGCACGCCTAAAACTCTTCCCGGGCAAGCTATGTTCGAGGTGGTCGGGACCCTTCATGGTCACCCAAGTATTCCCACACGGTGCGGTGGAGATCAGCAATGCTCAAATTGAGCCGTTCAAAGTGAATGGCCACCTCTTAAAGTTGTACTTGGGAGGTGATATCGAGCGCGCAGAGCTGCTGATCAAGCTCGAGGACCCTTAGTTCCTCTACTGGCATCCAGCTAAAAGACGGTAAAGAAGCGCTTGTGGGGAGGCAACCCCACCACGGTTAGCGTTTCTGCCCTTTTTCCTTTTCACTTTTGTCGGTTTTAGAGTCTTTGAGTCCGTCTAGAGTCTATCTGGAATGTTTTTCGTGCCTCGGGTGGTCTGTTTTTGTCAGTGGTGGTGTTTATTTTCGAGCCGGGGCACAAATGGTTTTGGGTGTCAGAAAGAGCAGTTTAAAATTGTTGACAGGGGACCCTCGGCAGTGCATTTACGGGCAAGGGGGACACAACTACGGTCGTAGTTGCTTCCCCCCTGCCCGTAATTCAGTCAGAAGAGGGGAGAAGCCTCGGCAATGCATTTACGTGCAAGGGGGGCTCGATTACGGTCATAGTTGCTTGACAGTAATTCAGCCCCTAATTCGACCTGACACTTAAATCACTGATAGCGTCGTATTTGCACATGTTTTCACTCTTGTTTCCTGACCAGTTTAGCTCGAACTTGTGGTTTCTTGGCCTATTTTACGCTAGGTTGTGTTGTTTTGTCGTATTTCAGGTCCTAGCAAGTAAAGGGATGCATAGGCGCAAGTTTCGGGTCATTTGGAGGTCACTTGGCGATTCAAGATGCAAATTACGGGCATCCCCTGCACAATTACGAGCGTAATTGCTTCTGTCCTGACCGTAAATGCAATGCCGAGCCAAATCCCTAAGAATGTCTATCGCAGAGCAAATTACTGGCAATAGTGGACTCATTTACAGTCGTAATTTCATAATTACTGGCAGTAAACTGAAAAAAATGACGACCGTAATTCCCTTCCTTAGAGTTAATCGAAACGCGCGTTTTGGGCGAAATACGGGCATACCATGTTTACGACTGTATTTCAGCCCGTATTTCGCCCAGAATCGGGGTTTTGAGGTAGATTCGAGCCAAAGGAGTAGGGGTGTTCAAATGGTTACCATGGTTATTACCAAATCAAATAAGACTAAATTTCATTAACCATGGAATACAATATCATAACCAAACCGTCTAAACTAATACAACAACCAAATAAACCAAATTAAAGTTTAATCGGTTTGGTTAATTGGTTACCACATTAACCAATATAAAATCACATTATCATTAAGTGAGAAAAATTCGGTTAATTTATCAAATCACAATTTATATAATGAATAAAACATAACAATCAACACATAGTTATAGTTGACCCTTAACATAAATACATGCAACTAAGACAATTATCTTACGATTAGTATAGAAGTATTCACCTAACAAAAATTTATCACAATGGTATGGGTTAATGAATTTTGTGTTTGTTTGAATTGACTTAGTCTTTTAGCAATTTTCATAGGCTGAAAAGGACCTTTCTTTCAAGTTTTCATCTAACATAATGTATGAGATTTATCTAAATTAGGCGTTCATATGTTGTGGTCTACACTCTACATATACAAATATACATTATGGAACAATATCAAGCTTTATATTTTATGTCTAAAAGGGATGAACGTTTAACTCTTGAGTGGTTATTCAAAGTATTAAGTATGTGTATATATTAGATATATGGCTAATTATTTATCTGGTTAATTTGGTTTGGCTGGTTAGGAGTGTCTGAAACCAAACCAAACCACCTAAACCAAACAAGCTAAAAACTTTAACCAAACCAAACCAATTATCCAAATTAACCAAACCAAATTATCCAAATAGTACTGGTTAAAACGGTTACCATGGTAACCACACCGTTTGAACACCCCTACAAAGGAGAGGGAATCGAGTTTTTGAGCAAAAAAACAGAGCTTTAGAGAGAGAAAGTGCGAAGAACAAACCCTAGGATCTATTTGGAGTGGATTTCTCACCATTGAAGCCTAGATTGCATCCCCAGGAGTGAAGATCGATATCCTAGAGCAGAATATCCTCATCTTTATGAGTATGACTACTTTGATTTCTGTTTTCCTCTCTCTCTCTATGGAGTAGAACCTTCTCTCCCTTGGCGATGAAGAACCCTAGTTCCATGTGTTAGGGATCTTGATTGTAATGACGTGGGATTGTTATACTTATTGGTTATAATCGATTGATGCATGATTGATTGAGTCAATTGAAGTCTGATCATCTTTTCTTGATTTCTGCTACAACCTGAGATAGATAGAATCTGATTAGGTTGTTAGAGCTTCATCAATCGGTAGTGGTAGATTGGTTATACGAGAGTTAATCGATTTACTGCTTTGTACTGGAACCCAATTCCAGTAGTGGAGTTTTGTGCTTATTGCCTCAGCAGTCTATCCCAGGGAAAGTTAGTCGCCTGCCGGTTAGCCCGCAAGAGAGGGCTTGGTCAGCTTAAGATTCCAAGCTACTGTCGGATCTTCCGCAGTTTAATCAACAATTAATCAACCCAGGGTATTACAACCTCGACCTAACTAAGGAGCTAGGGAGACTCGTTCCCGAGTGACTCTTCCCTTGCTAAAGAACTTTGAACCATTTCCTGCTTTCTTACTTCTTTTAGTTAAAATCACAACCACTCGACTTAGTTTGCTAGATAATAAATAATCACGGAGTAGGCAGTAGATCTAGGCCCCGGGTTGACAAATAGAGCTTGCCACTTATTGCATTTCCGTACTGCGATTACACTTGGTTGCAGTTTGGTGTTGTGTTTTAGCGTGTCAATCACCCATTTTATCAAATTTGAAAGCCTCACTCGGGAGCACAAACACAAACAAACTGTGCTTTGCCTCAGCAACCCAAATCTGCCCTTTTCCTACCCATGGCGTGTTCACCGCTTCCAACAACTCAATTGCCGTAATCTTGTTGTCGGTGAAAACCCGTCCAATCAAAGTATTTTAAGGACGGATCCAAACCATCCCATGAATCGGGCGGAAAGGACCACCCGTGCTCAGGGAAACAACCCTAAGGCCAAGCAGCCTATCATGGTGAATGGTACAAAGACCATGATCGACGACAGGCTGGGGTTGATATTGAACCCTCCCAACATCGCCTTCTATCTCTGTCGAAGAACTCCACACCTCTTTTCTCGACATTCAATACCTTTTAGATTTTATAAAACTAAACGAGTTTTGATAAGCTAGGATAAAACCTAGCTTTCGCTTTCTAATCCGATAATCAGATCTTCTTTCTTGAACAACCTTGGATCGACCTGTACATCTGCTATGGATATAGGTCATCGTCACCAGACTCTCCCAAGGGCGGTTACCTTACCTTTGCCCCGGTAGATCCTGAGATTAGTGCCTTGGTTAACCAAAATTACATCCAAAAGCGCTGCACTTGTCGTAACTAAAATTCGGCGAACCAAGCAGCAAAGCTCGAAAATTCGGCCAACCAGCCGACAGAGCTCCAAGAGAGAGGAGAGGGCTCCTCTCATTTTTTTAGTATAAAGTTTGCTAGATAGGAACCTCCCCATCCGAAATTAGGAGTATGGCCATTGACGAAGAGCAATAAAAAACTGATGGTAAATAACAGTTTCCTTTTAGTCAGTGGCGAAGCCACTTGAGACCAAGGTGTGTCATTTGCACCACGTTTTTTTTTATTTAATTGTTGATTAAATACAAGATCTCCATATTATTATAGATAATTTCACAAAAAGTAATATTTTGTCATCTACTTTTAGCTCATATATTCTGCAAGTGAGTTTAATATATATATATATATATATATATATATATTTAATTTTAGGGGGTGTTTGTTGCTATCGATTGTCATTGCAAGTGTGGAAAGAGCTCTTACTATAATAAGCAAAGTAAATAAACACTTGAGAATTAGATGAGTTGGGGAGTCATGAACAAGTTTTCACTGTGGAATCTTAACGTCGACCTCTCACAATTTACATGATTAATGTACTGTAGAAATTTTTTTGAACATGAACATATCGTGAAACATATCTTATATTTTTTTGTTCCACATTTGACCTAACGTAGATGAATTTCTGGATACGCCACTACTTCTAGTGGTGGTTTTTATTCATGGCGCTGACTATGAATCCTATAAATTTAAACCATTGAAATTGTTTTAAGTAGAAGGACAAATCGATTTATATAAATATCATAAAACGAATTTCATTCAGGGCAATGGCCGGGTAGCTACTAGCTAGTACGTATTAGTAAATATCAATTCTGCTGTATTGCTACTTGGTGAATACAAAGATTAACTACAGATCCATGCAGGCTGTTCGTAATTTTACTGTATCTAATGAAAGCAATCGTCTGCATGCGCATTTTTATCCTTTTCCTGAATACCAGAGATTGAAACTTAGCTCCTAGAAAAGCTATATATTTATGAGCTGAATATCAGATCGATAAAAGTTGCCATGCACGATAGATCTGTACTGATCGTACCTCCATTTAAGGAACTTCCAGATTCTTTCCACATATATATATTTCAAACAGCTATAACAATAAACTGACAGAAGGATCACCAAATCAGATGAATCGTGGTTCTGAGCAGCTGCAAATCAAACTGAAAAGCTACAACTCCAGCTAGGCATGCCAGAAGAGACCTTGTCTTTATTTAGGCAATATGCTGTCTTCCTTGATCATTCATATCTCGGCGTTGCCATAAGAAGAAGAGGAAAACGTGCGTAGGGGCAGCAACACCAGGAGAACGTATCACCGCCCTCCCATTTTGATTCACAGCGATATGTATACCTGAAATTCAATGTATCATGTGATTTAGAAATGGATCTGAGGTACCAATAAACAAATTGTCAGTGCTTGTATGTATTCCAACTTGTTTAAAGACGGATCCAAATAATCGTGCAAGAAAGACAGTGCATAGTAAGATAGTAAGAAAGTAAAGAATATACAGATTTATGTTGTTCGCTAACACTACGTGTGTTAGTTCATAGATGGGAGAGAGCCAACTTCAGTATACTTGAGAAGAGTGCAAATTACAGAGAAGTTCGAAAAGTATATATGGTGCTTCTCCAATGGGCAAACCAGTGGCGGAGCCAGAAATTCGAATGATGAAGGCTAAAAATTTACGTACAGAGAATTCAAACTGGCGAGGAGGGGGCTAACGCCTTATCAAATACTATATTTTTCAATGTATTACAAAATTTAAATGTAATTTTCCATCCCCTACCCCTACCATTAACATAGCTCCGGCACTGGGGCAAACCCTAATCCAATCCGGTAAAGAATAAGGTTACATACCAGATCGGGAGAAAAAAACTCAAACGTGTACAAGCCGGCACATTATGGATTCAAGTCATATAAAAAAGATAATCCGATTCGAGTCATGTCAACCGTTACTTTTATGTGGTACATTTTCATATGATAATAAAACTCCTGGATCAAGTTATCATAGGTAATATAATAATGACTACAGAATTTGCATGTTTTCCCGTTCCAATAATATATGGTTGGCACTGCATCGATCTTACGCATCATCAAAGAATTCCTAACCCTAAGTGGATACCATATATGCATGGTCTACTACAATTACCAACAAAATGATGACTTCACTTAGATGATCTTTTAGTTCCGTAAGAAACCTTGTGGAGTAGTTGGCCACCAGTCTACATATATATTCATGAAAGAGGTAAAAGTAGCTGCCTCTCTATCTATCAGCTGGGAGGATATAACCTCGAATCTCTGTAACGAAAAAGCTTATATAGAACACCTAGCGTGGAGCAAAATTCGATAGGCATGATCAACTTATACGTACGTATCTAAGAGAGGAAAACCCTAAACCAAACCCTAGCTAGCCAGCTTTCTGATCTATATCTCACTTTACACTCAACTTACCGCACTCAGGCCTATTTGTAAATGTTTTAAAGAGTATTATTAATATTATTATACTTAATACGCCTTAATCTCCAAGTCCTTTCATCATGTCAATAACAGATGCCATTTTTATGTCACATACAGTATGTAAAATTACAACTTAGGACTCGAGAAGGGCCTGATTGGTGCTAGCTAATGAATCCAACTTATAGCAGGAAAAGATGAAGCAAAACCAACAAAAGCTGAGAATGTCTTGGTAGGGGCCTATATGCATAAATATATTGATTAATGATGAATGATCATCTGAGGCAGAGAGACATGGGACATGTACCCCACAAAATCTGATCATGGACAATATGCAAATCCAATCAGAGTAAAAGATAGAATATAAAATCCTTGAAAACTGTCCCTGCTGCAAATTAAATTAAAATGAAAGATCTGCTGCTCCACATTAAAGCAGATGCTTATGTTTGGGTGGGACAAAAAAACTTTTGCCACCTATGAATAGTGTGTTTTTGTATAAAGAGAAAACAATGGAATGAATAGAGATATATGATCCTGGTAAAATTGTAATTGGAGGTTCCTTTCAGCTCCAAAACCAGGACAATAATTTATTATTTTATAATAAAAGGAAAAGGCATTTGATAGGGGAAATGACAAAGATGAAAGATGTGGGGGGTGGGTACTGATGAATAAACAAATAATTAATTTGCTCTCAATTATATAAACTACAGGGACAGCAATGGGGGGAAACCTTAGACATTGGTTAATGTGTAATATCATTCAATCATTCATTTCGTAATATTTAATTGCTATAAATTCATTATGGAGTGAACACTTTGGCACTCATACGGGGGCAGAAAATCTAGGAAAATCTTAATGAAAGAACCCCATTGATGGAGAGAAAGAAAATTTGGATAGATTAAAAAACTTTAAATACTACATATAATTCTAATTATGCGTGTAAATGCTAGTTGATGATTGACTCACTGTATGCTCCAGGAGAACCCACTTGAACCATTAATCTAGCTCACTATATACTAAACAAGAAGGAGAACCCAATAGTCAAAAACCACACTAGCTAGTTAGTCAACCTCGCATTCCATTGAATCTGTAAGCTTGCTTAGGGAGGCATAGAATTGATCCCTCGACCTATGAGCTGATAGAGAAATGGAAATCAAAAGAAGAAGAAGCAGTGGAGGGGCTGTGGCTGATGAATAAGTGTTTGATATCTACTATCGATTCGAGTTATACAGTTCGGGACAACAGCAGGTGTTAACTAATTAATTGTTCTTATACGTAGCTTGCTAGATTGACTTGCTAGCTAGTAGCTAGTATAATTATTGTACACATAATCTAGGGATGTTGGATGAACTAAAACTAATTACCAGATGGTGAAACAACCAAGCCAAAACAAAGCTACGAAATCAAACTGACCGATTACCATCTCATAATATGATGAGGAGGTAGCTGGGTGGCAGATTCAGGAATAGTGCAAGGGAGGGGCAGAAGAAGAGTCATTGCCACCACCAGACGGCTTCTGCTGCTGCTTCTTCTTTTTCTTCTTGTGAGGAATCCCCCTGGCCTTGGACTGGCAATCCCTGACCTCGCGGAGGTAGACCCGGATGGCCCCGCTGGCGAAAGGGTTGGTCTCGGGGGAGCCTCCGTTCTCCTCGTAGGCTGCCCGGAGCCTGCCTATGAGCGCGTCGAGGCTCCCCCAGGCCTGCCTCAGTGGGCAGGTGCAAGGCGCCGGTGGCTCGGGCTGGCCGTAGAACATGCAGCCCTGGATGTGGACTTTGGTCTTCCCGAACTGGTCCAGGTACCGAAGGAAGTCGATGACGTGGTTGCAGTTGCAGTGGGACAGCGGCACGGGCGGTCTCTGGTTCTTCAGGTACTGCCCGAACGTGTTCCAATCCCTTCTCTTCTGCGACTCGTACCGGCTCGGAGTGGCAGCCTGCTGCTGCTCGTAGTGATGATGGTGGTGTGGGTCGCTGGATCCTTCCCCCATTAGCTCCTTGCCTCTTTCGTTGCTACTGCCAGACATCTTGTTTCCTTCTACTTCTTTTTTTTTTTTTTGGGTGTTGGTCGATTATGCAAGTGGAAAAGGCGTGAAGCAGGGAGGAGGATTGTCTGTGAGTAGTAGGTGCTAAATAAGGGGAGGGAAGAAACTGGAACGAAAGTAATAATGGAGTTGGGGGAAGGGACGCGAAAGGAACAGGAGAGGAAGAGGGTAGAAATGGAGGGAGGGAGGAGAAAAAAAGGGCTGGGGTTTCACATCATCCAGGTCACAAGAAAGAAAATTTAGATTAGCTAGAAGGAATGCTACCGGCCCTATTGCTTACCATTGTTTTCGCATTATAAAAATGAATTTATTTCTACGACATTTGAAAATTTGTATAAATTATTATATAGTGATGCGATCTTATTATATACATCTCAGTATACCGGATATCCTAAAAATTTCACATTTTGATCGCTAGTATTTTGTCCAATATATAGTGTCATCGTAGATTGAGTAAAATTAAATATATGATTTAATTTAAGTAAAAAAAGAAAGATATATAGACTTTGAATTAAATGAATTTTGCGGCATGACACTATACCCTAATCTTTTATGAGTAAACTCTAGTTTTTAAGGGTTAGGATATAGTACCATATATCATACTCCGGACAATCTAAAGGTCTAGACATAATTTTCTTACTCAAGGTACACCGTACCTGTGATTTTACTGATTTTACTAAGAGTACGATAGAACCATCCATATATATATTCATGTGAAAAAATAATAATAATCAAGCCTAACGATAGGTGTACTCCTAGAATATACCATATTTCAAGTAATTTAATCGTTGAATATGTACTTTGCTATAAGTTGACATATCATAATAGTCGATTATTATTATTTATTATTTTGATATGTGGCTTTAAGTTTATAGAATCATTAGATGAAGAATTTTACAATGCTATATAGCATTGGTGCTATAGGTTTTTGCCTTTATGGTACAACTTGAAATTGTACATTTAACGTTATGGTACAACTTCAGATTGTACCTATATTTTTTGTATAAATTCTTTTATGGTACAACTTAAACTTGTACTTTATGTGATGGTACAACTTCAAGTTGTAAAATTGTACATTTACATAATGATACAAACACCTTTATGGTACAACTAAACTATTTAATGTTATGGTACAATTTAAAGTTGTACATTAAAGTGCCAATACTATATAATATAGTAGAAGTGCTCACCTTAGATTTATCTATTAGAGATGAGAGCTTAACAAATTTATGTGATTTGAATAAAGAATTGGTCTATGTGACGATCTCTATGATTTGATAAGTTAGATTATTACATAAAAAATAACTATCTCTTCAACCCTCTTAAGTTTTACATAGTATATTTTAATAATTGTTATAGAATGATGTTATATTATCTTCCATAACGTGTGATATGCTAACAAAATTAAGTTACATACCTTACATTTGATTAATTTAATTACTATGTAGATTAACATGACTTATAAGAGGTTTAATTTGTGTAATACAAATTGATGATATGTTGAGTATAGTCGGTAATAATAAAGAAATTTTAGTTAATATAAGTGAACTAATTTAAAAAATATCATATTTTATTAAACTGTTATGTACAAAATAATCGAGCTTACAAAACAAAATTGTAATGCAAATTGATGAGATCGTCAATAATTTAGTTAATAATTTAGTAAATTTCATTCAAACTTATATTTTTTTGTATGGCTAGATCAAAATTGCATTAAGCAAGGGCAACCAATAGGAAAAACACCATGGCGCCTCTCAAAACCAACAGTCTGTACATATCAACTCTCCCTCTCCAAAAACAAAGGAAAAGAAACCCTATATGAGAAATGTATCTATCTATTGTCCCAATCCCTTAGATTCAAAGCATCTGAGTAGGTTTTGATCCAACTGACATCTGAGTTGAACAATTCCCTTCGTATCTACAACTAGCTGCTGAGGGGTCTTTGCTGCAGAGTCCCCATACAACCTTGAACACTGCTCTCGCTAAATGAGGCTAAGCACCACACTCCAAATCATCCTATTGAGAACTGCAGTAGCAGAGCTTCCTTTCCACTTCCTTATGCACCACTGTAATGTTGCAGCACAATCACTCAGCACATGCGGGGCATAAACCTGCTAAACCCTGAGCACATATTGCACACAAGAACAATCTGCAAATAAATGGAAACAGGTCTCCGGCCCCATGGACAAAAAACACAGAAACCAGAAACCTGCTTCCCCCACGCAATAAGCTTATCTTGGAACTTTAGACGATCATTAATAATAAGCGAAATGATAAACCCATGCCTAGGGATACTATGTTTACCCCAGACCAGATTATACCATTGAACTTCCTCTTCTCATTGACGCGATGAGTTCCAAACTCTTTTAACAGAATAAGTCACCATGTCTTCCCCTCCCCATGTTAAGCCCGACCCTGCATTGGACACATGAGGCCTAGCAGCTTCCCTACACTTCAGAATTTGCTTCCAAATCCATGATCCAGCAGTTGTAGCCTTCACATCCCAAATCGAGGCTGACTTAACCCTATACCGACGGATCCAAGCCACCCAAAGAGAACCCTCTTCCACAAGGATCTCCCAAAATGACGTAGAACATATGCCTTATTCCATATAACAAAATTTCGAATCCCCAACCCACCTTCTTTTTCAGTTCTAGTAATAAATTGCCACCAAGCCACAACTCTCTGCCTAATTGTAGTCTCATCAATATCCCAAAGGAACTTACTTCAAAGAGACTCAACCTCCTTTAGAACAAATTGGGGAAGCAAAAAATTACTCATCCAAAACTGCATAACACTAGTCACTACAGAGTTATCAGTTGCAGCCGACCCGCAAAACTCAAAGTTTTTGTCCTCCAAATCCTAATTTTTGTGGTAATCTTATCAATTAGAACCTTGCAGTCAGCCCGAGATAACTTACCAGTGATCAATGGAACTCCTATATATCGGACCGGGAGGGTGCCAAAGGGAATTTTCGAACAATCCGAAATAAAATATTGCTCCTCATTTGAGATCCCCCCGGAAAACAATGAACTCTTCTCCAGATTACATCTCATACCCGATATAACATAGAAAACATCTAATAACCGACATATCCCTGCCACTCCCCTAATAGATCCATTTGTGAATACTAGCAAATCGTCAGCGAAACACAAATGTGTTATCACCAACGGTTTGCATCTAGGGTGGTAAGGGATCTGATTTTGCAGAACAACTTGTTTCAACATGGCATCAAGCACTTCCATGACCATAGTAAATAGATAAGGGACAAAGGGTCCCCTAGCCTCAATCCACGCTTCATTTCAAAAAGACCACATACACCTCCATTTAGGCCAGCACTGATTCTATATTCTCAGGAGACAACTTACTAAGAGAAAGCTGCTGATAAAAAATGCTAGGCTGAGGGATAACGTCTTTGTTAACTTCACCAATAAGCTACCTATAGAAATCCACCGCAACTCTACCCATTTCCTTTATATTAGGCTGAGTGATCTGCTGTTTATGAGTGTGAATCTTCTCTGTTCTGTGGAAATATGCAGTATTCATATCACCTTCTTGCACCCCTTGAGTACGAGCCTTTTGATTATAGAAACTTTCTTCAGCTTTCCTCACTTCAAAACATTTCTGTGCCAATTCCCCCTCTGCTTCAACTAACTCAGCACTAGGACTTGCAAGAAGCTCCATTTGTAGTTCCTCCAATTGGGTTTCCAATTCTCTAGCCCTTGTTGATATGTCTGAATAAGCTTCCCTGTTTAGTGTCTTCAGCTTTTTCCGCATTACCACTTGGAAGAATATTTTAAAATAGCTCTTTTTGTGTTTGAGGGCACCTCCTTTCGACCCAATTACCACCTTTTGGTATTTACAAAGTTCTCTTTTTAGTTGTTATGTTTCCGCATGCCTAACACCACAAAAGCCCAGATGCTATTGAAAATTTCAGATCTTACCAATTCATATCATTTTTTAAATAAATCAAATAACCAAATCCCAATTTTAGAGGTAAGCTTCCCATCAATCTGATGGTCATGAGTAGTGGCTATGGCTTAAATTCATATTGAAGCTTCCCATCAACAGGATGGTCATAAGCAGTGGCTATGGCTTTGAGTTTACTATAGATTCATTTTAGAAAGTGAAAATTTAACAAAACCAGTAACTTTTTTCTAAACACATCCCAATAAAACATTTTAGGTAGATAACAATCAAGGAGTTCGACCCAAATCTAGGATCTGGACACATAAGCAGATCCATAAACCGAAATTAAACCCTAGACTCCAAAAAAGATCACGCAAAGAAATCCTGAGTTAAGAGGATATCACCTACTGCCTTTTCGAGTCTTAAAGGTCTGCAAAAATAATAATAAAATCAGACTCTAAAAGATAGTAGCAGTAGTAAATCAGAACCCAGGTAAAAAGAACAAAGAAGAAGACCCACCTTGAACGGAGGGAAACATCGGTGAGTTCGCCACCTCGTCTCAACCGTCAGGCTCGTCGCCGGTAGGCCTCTCGCCGACACCGTCCTCGCCTCATTGATAATTAAAATATAAAAAAAAATACCCAAATCAAAGTCTGATCCCCAAAATCAAAATAAAGTGTGCATGTACAAAAAATCTTACCAGAGGGTAAGATCCTCTCCTTGCCGCCGCGGTTCCGACTAGAAAGGCGAGACTCCCACCTCGGTTTCGAGCTGATCTCGAAAAATAAATAAGGAAAAAAGATTAGAATCTCGAAAATTAAAATCAAATCTGAAAATAGTAGAAATCGTACATGCAAAACAGAAAAAACAATGAGAGGGAGAGAAGTAGGACCTAGTAGAGGGGAAGGTTTGTACTGTCTTCCCTCTCGGTTTAGAGAGACGGACAGAACCCGAGGGGAAGGAAATGGGTAAGGGAGGCGGTTGTGGAGGAAGAAACCAGAGGGTTTCTTGGTTCGATGAAGGTGAGATGATAGAGAGATAGAAGGGTGAGAGGGGGAGGAGATGAAGTAAGAGGGCGGCCGCTTTGGCTATAGGGTTAGGCTGAATTAGGGTTTTGTTAGAGATTGTTATATACCCTTCTCATTAAAATGACTTAGTCTCCCCTAGGATTTCTTAAAATTTACATGACCTTGCCACCATGTTTTTGAGGAGTTACGAAATTACCCTCCCCCCGTCTCTACACTAAAATGATGAGAAAAAAAAAATTGTAATGACTAGTTTCAAACCCTCATCCTCGGGATAAGTGCATACTCCAAATAGTGACTTAACCAATTCGGCTACTGGCCCATCATGTGTAAATGTAATCATTCCGTTCAACTTTGTTGTTTAGTATGAAATATTGAATGCGTATTAGGTTAATCCTATTTCTTTTCTAACACATCAACTCTTTACTTAATGACTAAAATTCATAGTATCACTTTTATATTTTCTAAAAAAAATGCATATTACGAACACCACGGTAAATGGAACGTGGTAATATTTACATTTAAAATTGTCAAAATTTTAAACGAACTACGTGGACTATGATCCCGTGTTACGGGTACGTAAGCAACCGATAAGGTTTGAGTCCAACTAACTAACAAATTTTATCTTTAAACGAACGTCAGTTGGCATATAATAAAACCATAAACTAATACGATAAAATTCTTTAGCGGTCCAATAGGACCATACAAACACCAATAATTATTAAAAACACCCAACTCATATAAACTTATCAACTTAAGCAGTGCTGATTTAGGGCGTTGTGGGGGTGTTGCATAACTTCCCACACGTAACCGTACTCCTGGACGCATATCCCTTAATCGCAGACCATGTCTCGGTTCTAACCCTAAGTTTAGAGCTGACCGAAGAGTGTTCGATCCACTCCAAGTAAGATCGATGGCGACTCCAAAAGCGAACGCGACCCGACCCCCGGAGGGACGGTTGTGACAATAGTAGTTGTGCTTATAGTGAATGTACTTAACCAGGACTCATTTATAAGAATCCTATCCAGCCTATCAGCAATTCGGTTCCCCTCTGCTTATTCCACCAAGTAAACCAGGCTTCCACAATCTTATGCTCACTCAGCTTCATGCCTTCAATCCAACCCCCGAACTCATTCATACTGGAAGTCATATGCAATAAATTTGATGCTTCACTAGGATCCCTGATGACTTGATACTTGCACATGTTTTCACCTTTGATTCTCAATCATTTAAGCTTGCATTATCGCTTCTTTGCCCTATTTTATGCTAGGTTGTGCTTCTTTGTCTCATTTCAGGTCGTAGCACATAAAGTGAAGCATAGACGCAAGTTTCAAGTAAATCAGAGATCAATTGGCGACTCGGGGAAAGAAACTCGGGCATGACTTGAAGAAGAATGGATTTCTACCTCATTTTGTGGCCAGATAATCATGTAAGCTTATCATGAGAAGAAAGAGGACGATACTACCGGCGTCTGGGATCAAACGACACTTGATTTGCAGTCCGAACGACGGAGAAACGAAGAATCAAAGACAGTGGGCCCGAAATTATAAGATACCTGGTCAGTTTGGTCAAAATACTCGATAATGTATTTTGAGCATCTTATAGGGTATTCTGATAAGAAATCAGATGACCCCCGGTCGTGAACCAAAATTACCCGACCGGGTATGTCTCCTTTTGCCCAGAAAAGTGACCCGGAGCGTCTTGATGATATCCGGCAAAAATACCCGACCAGGTAATATGACGGGGTAACTTCCAGAAGCGGGTATAAAATCCTGTTTTGTGCATTTTTCGAGGGAGAGAGCTGGGTTTTTATCCTAAACACCCAAGCGATAAACCAAAGAGAGAGAGGGCGATTTGAGGGCAATCTTGGAGTGGAATTGGAGGATTACTTAACCTTGGAAGCTCCAGGAACAAGCCCAGACTTAAAGACTGAGCATCTAAAGATTCTTACTGCAGTCTCTCTCTTCTATATGGAGTAACTTCCCTTCACTTAAGGTTTTGAGGAACCCTAGCTATGTTTGTTTGATTGGATGATTGTATGAGTACTCTTACTTGATAATCTTGAGTTCATATTCAATCTAAGCATGTTTCATGTTTCAATTATGTTTTAGTCAAGATTATTGATTGTGCGTTGATCCTATGAGAGAGAATACCTGATTTGGTCAATAGAGCACCATAGATTGATAGTATTGGATAGATTTCTTTAATCGAGGGTCGATTCACTAATTTGTATCGATTGAGAATCTCATTCGATAGAGGGAATCTAGTTCAGAACGCCTTGATCGGTTGTTCTAGAGAAGGATACGTCCCTCTAGGTAATCGACTTAAGAGGGCCTTGTTCCTTTAGTCGAGATTCAAGGTCTAGTTGATATTCTCCGCATTGTGAGTGGAAACTGAAACAAGTTAGAGATCGTTAATCATTAATCTGGCTAGTGGCTAGGGGGAATCATACCTAACTGAGTTCCCAACCGGTAATTAGATTAACTTTAACTGTAGTTTATTAGAGTAGTTATAGTTCTTCTATTTTAATCTAGTTTTCTAGATAATGAACCGAAGCTGAGTAATAGTAATTCTAGAGACCCGTGGATTCGATATTTATTACATGTACCACTATACTGTAGTCCCTTTCATTGGTTACCCTTGGCCATTGTTAGGAGTTGTGTTTTAGCGAGTCAAGTTTTTGGCGCTGTTGTCGGGGACTTTATAGATTATTAGGAAAGGCAGAAGTTTGTTAATTTAGCTTTTCTTTCTATTATTTTTCTTTTCCACCCTTGCTTTTCACTTGTGTGTTTTTATTTTTGTTGGTGCAGATCTGAATCATGGATTCTCATGGCTTATCCAACCACTAGTGGTATCCACCACCACCAAAGTGGTATTTCCCCGAGAATTACTGGAGCAATCAAGGTGGAATTTACCTCGGGAGAGAAAGTTGAACGAAAGAGGGCGAAAACGAATCGAAATGGAAAGGCAAAAGTTACGGCTAATAAGAGATTCTCACAGGCGGGAGACCGTGAAGATTTACATGTGAACGTGAAGTTCGAAGACTTCCGAGAGAATTTGCACGACTCGCGGACAATGGGTTATATTTTTTGTTATATAACATCACTTAACCAGTTTTATATTTTTACGATGAACGTGTTCTAGAGGAGTTTTGATGGACTTGTGCAATATGGGGCGAGGAAGAAGTGAGGCATTGAAATATGGGTTCTTAGCAGGAGTGACCAAGGTGTTTCTTCGAGCAAGTGGAACTTGAGGTAGAGGTTAAAATTCAGGATAACGTGGAGGATAAATCTAAAAAGGGAGATAGCAGGTATCAGGTTCAATAAAGAAACTCAGATATTGTCATTCGACCCAAAGGACTCAGATTTTGTGTACATCAGGTATGGTTTGGTGATATTTGTCTCACCCTTACCCATTTTTCTCTTCCTTGTTATATTTGCTAATGGATGATGGTAATGGAATGGTTGCAATAGGAGTGATGCTTTATGGTTAATCACTTTCCTATTGAGTTTCAATGTCTTTGGGATAGATTTATTTTCTGAATTTGGTGTTTCCCTTCCAATATAAGCTTGATATGATATTTATATGAACTGATATGATCTCGGAACCCATTCCCTCTTCACCTCACCTCTTTCTCATAGTCTTGTGATGAGGTGGAACTACTTTCAATTGGATGTGGTATTTGGTTTGAACAAGAAGTGTTGAACTAGTTGTGCTGATGCTCTATTGGTTAGGTGAATGTATAGACTTATGGTTTCTTTGCTTCAGCAGTTCAATTGAGAGAATTATGTTTTCGGTTCTTCTCCGCAGGCTCTAAATTCTGTTACTCCCACGACTTTGCATTCTCTTCTGGCTTTTGGTTTCAAGGTAATACCCTATTTCTAATCTATTACTACACCTTCATTACATAATCATAGGGCGTGAACTCAAAGGGACCATGTTAAATTACATGCAAATTTATTTCTTTGAAAAATTGCTTCAGTATTTTTTGGTATGCATATATACTTTTGATGGGAAGGGATATGATACATTACGTGTGATTTATTACCAATTTTTTTATATTTAGGATCAGAACATTAGAGACTTTGTGGCCAGTTATTTTCTAAGATGAGCCACTTCATGGTTTATTTTGGTTTTAGATCCGTCTTTGTATCAAATCAATTTGGTGTCAGATCCACGGTTCTCCGGTTATCTCTCTTATTCCTCATTTATCATCTAAATGAAGAAGAGAAGTCCCAGTTTGGTAGTTAGTTTTGCCTCATCTTATAGAACATTTGCGTTGTATTGTTGTTCCCATCACCAAGACTCTCTTTTAGGACTCTCAAGTTGAACTATCTTATGCTTTCAAATGGGTGTTCATTCATACTTGGTTCATGTTGTCCCTATAATAACCTCCATTTCCTAAACACTGAACTGGCTTCTTTGCATTATAGTTCATTTCCATGTGTAGGTAAATTCTAATATATGTTTAATTGCTCCAGGTTGTCTCGTTTTATTTAATATAAGTTGCTGGTTTCTTATTGATCCTATATATATGGCAAAGGCTAAAGTACGTCAGTCGTACGCTATATGCCTGCGTTCACACCTATTTTATGTACATGGATAATTCTGACGAATCAGAACCATTGGTTTTCATTTTGAGATTAAATGAATATTATGGTTTGAGTTAGAGAACTGGGAACTGGGGTTCAACCATTAGAGGTTAGGGTATAGTATCATGCCCCAAACTCCAGTGAATTCATGGTCTAACTAAAAAAATTCAACGAGCGTACGGTAGAGTAAGCGTACGATTGACGTACGCTAGCCTGAACCATATATATATATATATATAGTGCCTTTTACGGTACCCTAGGTGAAATCCGGGGTACCGCATACCTTGAGTATGAAAACTCTATCTAGACCTCGAATTAGTAGGATTTTTGGGCATGATACTATACCTTAACCCTTCATGAGTGAACCCTAGGTCCTAATTATCTAAATCATAAACTATAAACCCTAAAGATGGTGCATTGATTTTTTTGCCTATATTTGGACGAATCATAACCGTCGATTATTGTTTCTAATTAAATTGATCTTGGGGTATAAGATTTAGAGAATTAAGACCTAGATTTTGATCTTTAAGGGTTAGAGTATAGTATCATGTCTGAAAGATAAGTCAATTCAAGTTCTGGACATCGTTTTCTCACTCAAGGTATGCGGTACACTGGATTTCACCGTGGGTACCGTAGAACTCCCCATGTATATATATGTATTTACGATGGACGTTTAATGGATACTTATTGAATTTGATTGTCCTGGTTGCTAATTGATCCTATATATACATGTGTGCATTTATGATGGATGTTGAATGGATGCTTATGGAATTCCTTTTTGGTTCCAGTTATTGTAGTTTATGGCTGGATTTTTTATTGATTTGTCTGCTTTTTTCTCATTGAGTGATCTGATTTTAGATATCCTTTTGGAATTTCAGTGCTCTTGATCTTGTTTGATTGTTTTTAAAGCTTTGAGCTTTCACTGATGTTGATGAAGTTTGATGTGTATGTTTATGTTCCTCATAGTTTTCTTGGATTGCATAAGATCTTTATGTTATTTGGTACTGACTGTATATTAGAGTTGAGGATTTTTTTTTATGTGTTTGTGAGCTTCGGTTATCTTTGTGCTTTTGAATTGTTGCTTCTTCAATTATTAATGTATTCTTGGGATTTTATTGCCACGTAATAGATTTTATTTTCCTATCTCAGAAAAATGGAAACATTGGCAGTAAAAGGAAGCGCCAAACTTGAAACTTTGGGGCACTCACAATGCGGAGAATGAAACAGGAAATGATGTTCTTCCCGACTTTTTTTTCTTTTCCACCTATTAACCATTTGGTTGGACTCTAGCTACAAAATTCCTCATCGACTGCTAAGTATAACCGAAGACCGGATGTAGCAGAGGGTAAGCAAGCTTCTAGGCTTACCTTACTTTGGGTTTAGGGTTCGTTATCTAGCCAACCTAGAATAGCGACTAGGAAAATAATCTAACTAACCTAGCTAACCACTAACCTATATAGTTAGAAGTTGGGAGCTCTCTTAGGTTTGAATCCCCCTAGTTCTGTCATTCGACCGATGTTGAGAACCGTTCTCGCTTGATCGATTCACTACCTTGCCGTTTGGAGGTTGACATCCTTGGGACGAACCCGGAATGACAAAGTGATGGATAGTTGGTGCTCTATTCAACCTAGGGCAAACCTATATCATATGAGATCGATCCAATGACTCCCTCGGAGATTACCCAGACAATATAAGATGAGGAGTGGATTATATCTCTCATAGGTCAAAAGCTCAATTGACATGATAAAGAATCCAAAATCAAGCAATTCATGAAAACCATCCAACCTAGGGCACCTTATATCATTAAGAGATCGATCCAATCGACTCCCTCGGGGTTTACCAGGAACAACATTGAATGAGAAAGTGATTGTCTCCATCCTAGGTCGAAAGCTCAATTGACATGAACATGAACTGGAATAAAAAACCATGCAATTCGTGAAAAGCATCCATCAATTAGATAATAAACTCAATCAAACATAGGATTTGTCACATACATCAACATTAATCCAACATCCAGACCTAGGGTTCATCAACCTATGAGAATAGGTCTAATTCATAGAGAGAGAAGAGAGATTACAAAACATGCTCAAGATCTTCTTCTTCATCTTCTAGGTTTGAATCCTTGTTTCCAAGATCAATCCAAGCCTTCAATTAAGCTCCAAGATCACTCTCTCTCTAGAACTCGTCTTTTGTAATTTGGTGTCATGGGGGTGACATTGGTAGCCCGGTCGTGATCTCGAATGGAAACACAAGTGTTTACTATCATTTTAGTCCAATGTTATGGCCTCTTCACAATTGTCACGGTTAGGTGACCGTGACAATTTATCTGGACATTAGTCCAGCAAACTCTTCCGCTTTTTTTTTTTTTTTGCAATTGTCACGCCCCAGAGACCTTGACAAGTACCCCACAGACCGTGACTTTACCCTTTTCTTCAATTTTTGACACTTTTTTACCTCCAATCTTCCTGATATAACACAAGTGTCACAACGCGTGAGGCAATCGCTAATTGCACAAAGGGAGTAGGAAAGGCTCAACTGAGCATGGTTCACGACCGTACAATGTTGCTTATCAAGTACAATCTCGCCGAATGAAGTGTTGTTTGAGAATTATGCTTAGAGTCAACACCCCTCTATAGCATTGCCTTTCCAGACGGTCGAGGATAATGAGTTAAGTGTTTATAATTGACAAACAAGGTAGAGATGTCCTTAAAGGTAAAAAAAAAAAAAAAGGTCGCAAAAAGGTTTACCTCAAACACATTTTAGACTCACTAGTTGAGTAAAGTGCTTATGATTGATGGTGATCGTCCAGATTGTTCTTACGAGATATATACCTCATAATGTGGTGTGGTTTTCTAAAAGTGAGGGTTGATCTTGTAAGCTAATTTTGATCATCCACTAACCACAATCAAAAGTTACATGTCATTGTGGAGGTCTAGTGTGTTGTATGGCTATGATATATTTTGTATGAGAACGAGCAAAGTTCATGTGTTGGCAACATTATAACTACAATTGTATCATTTTCATTTCTTTAGTGTTTTATTTACTTGTATTTGCTTGGTAATTAATCATGTGTTTAATAGCTCCTACGATTACTTTTATATTGTGATGCACTTTTGGTAGTGTTTCATTTGTTTTTGGTCAAGATTTCCTAGTGGACCACCTTGTAAGAGCTGGAGACACAAAGACCCAATTACTGGGGATTGAAAACAGCAATGGAAGCATAGTTCTTAAACGTCGCCAAATTTTAGTCGCCTGAAGTCGAACATGACGGTCATAGATCAGTTTACTAAAGCTTTGCATTTTCGTAGAAACAATAGGAAATTTTTGACATTTGGACATTCCCAGTATGGTTAGCTACCGGAATACGACCCGGAGAATCTTCGAGGGAATCATAAAGGGAGAAGAAGGGAAGATTTAAGAAGGAAATCACCATGGTGATCTCTAATCTTCTTGTATTTATGATTTCTGTATCCAAGGATATCTAAACCCTTTGATTGTCCAGACTATGTATAACCCTAGTGATAATAGATTGATTGGATTATATTAGTTTTGAATGATGTTTCACACGGTTTCTTGTCAATCAAATTGTATATTACCAGGAATGTGTAAAGATCGTTTCTGGGAATCTGGCGAGTTGGACAGAAATGGAGAAGAAAAGAATACAGGGGAAGGAGAGTTCTTGATTTATTGCTAGCTATTGGTAAAGTAGTTACACGAAGAATGATTGGGTAAAAGCTGACCAGTTACCATTTAGCTCTCTCTATTTATACATGGGTGCACTTTATACGTCAATCATGCCAGCCTGGCTAGGTTTGTTACAAATCCTCTCCCTTCAAACACAGCTTGTCCTCAAGCTGTACATCAAAGCCAAAAAGAAGGAAACTGAGCCTTGAATGACAGCAGATCTTCCCAAGTAGCATCTTTAGGAGCTTGGTGTGACCATTGCACAAGAACTTAAGTGACTACCTTGTTATTTTGATTGACAAAGCGTCTGGCCAAGATGTGAGCAGGAGCAAGTTTCAGTGTACCATTTACGTTAGAATCAGGCAATTGCAGGGCAGTAGGGGGAACGGTCGATCTGTTGAGCTTTAGCTGTGAAACGTGAAAAACAGGGTGAACCTTGGAGTTTGCAGGCAAGGCCAGCTTATATGCCACACTCCCCACCTTAGCAAGCACCTGATAAGGGCCATAGTACCGCGCTCCAAGCTTGTTTCCTTGTCTCCCCGCCACTAAACCTTGTATGTACTGTTGAAGGTGAAGGTAAGCCCAGTCATTAACCTGTAAAACACATTCAGAACACCGGCGATCCGCATATTGCTTCTGTCTATTTTGAGCTGTAGTGATGTTGGAAGTCGGGAACTGACCCAAATGTTGTTGGAGCTTCACCCTGTCCTCCACCGCACCCACCGATGTTGTGGCAGTCGGAGTTAAACCAAAGAAGGCAGGAGGAAATCCATACAAGGCTTCGAATGGCGACATCTGCAAGCTGAGGTGGAAATGAGTGTTGTAACACCACTCGACCAACGTAAGCCAACTAGCCCAGTCATGAGGACGATGAAACGTCATACAACAGAGATAGTCTTTGAGACATCGATTCACCCTCTCTGTTTTTCCATCTGTCTGTGGATGGTAGGCAGTTGAGTAGTGAATATCCGTCTGCTGCAACATGAAAAACTCAGTCCAGAAGCTGCTGGTAAAAGTAGAGTCTTGGTCAGAAACAATTGTTGAAGGCATGCCATGATATTTAAAGACACCATCAAAGAACACTTGGGAAATCTCGACAGCAGTGTAAGGGTGTTTAAGGCCAAAGAAATGACCAGATTTTGTGAACCTGTCCGCCACTACTAGTATAACTTGTTTCCCCTGTGAGTTAGGCAACCCTTCTACGAAATCCATGCTAACATCCGTCCAAACGCGAGTAGGAATGGGAAGTGGTTGTAGAAGTCCAGGAGAAGCAACCGTTTCAGCCTTGCAACGCTGACAAACCTCACATTCTGACACCCATTTGCTGACTATCGCCTTCATCCCTCTCCAATAGAAGTGACTTTTGAGGCATTGGTAAGTATCTTGAGCTTCCGAATGGCCACCAACAGGGGAAGAATGGAACAACTGCAGTAGTTTAATGCGAAGAAAACCCGAAGAGCCAACCACGATCACCCCCTTATACTTGAGAATTCCGGCTGAGTAAGACCAGTGAGAGGGTCCTTGAGCATTAACCGCAGCAGCTGCTATTAAGTCTATCGCTTCAGAATCATACTCGTAGGATTGCTCGATTTCCACCAGCCATTCCGGTAATACAGACAGCAAGGCATTATAGCTTCCCAACAAAGATTCTTCATCAAAGACTCGTGATAACGCATCTGCAGCCCCGTTGGCTTCCCTTTCCTGTATTTAATATGAAAATCAAGGCCCATGAGCTTTACTAGTCCCTTCTTTTGAATTGCAGTAGGTACCTTCTGCCCCAGCAGAAATTTCAGACTTTCATGGTCTGTTACAATAGTAAATTGGCGCCCTTCAAGGTAGTGCCTCCAATGATCAACCGCCATTAATACCGCCAAGTATTCTTTTTCATAGGTGCTGAGACCCTGATTTTTCAGGCCCAAAGCCTTGCTATAATACGCCAAGGGATGCCCTCCCTGAGTCAACACATCTCCTACCCCATTTCCGTAAGCATCCGTCTCTAATATAAAAGGTTTGGTAAAATCTGGTAAAGCGAGAACACAGGCTTGAGACATAAATTTTTTCAGTGTCACAAAAGCATTCTCAGCCTCCGAATTCTAGTGGAACCCATTCTTTGTTAACAAATTAGTCAAGGGCCTGCTAATGAGACCGTAATTGCGCACAAACTTCCTATAATAACCTGTTAAGCCCAAGAAACACCTCAATGCTTTAATTGTTGTGGGTCTTGGACAACTCACCATAGCAACCACCTTACTATGATCAGTGGATTCTTTACTGATGATATGGCCGAGATATTCCACTGTAGGTTGCCCAAAAGAACACTTATAATCCTTGGCATACAACTTGTTCTCCCTCAATAACTGTAAAGCCAAGGCTAGATGATGTAAATGGTCTGCTGCCGACCTGCTGTACACAAGAATATCGTCGAAAAAAACCAATATAAACTTCCTCAAATGTTGGCCAAAGACATGATTCATCAATGCTTGAAAGGTAGCAGGTGCGTTAGTCAAGCCAAAGGGCATAACCCGAAACTCATAGTGACCTTGATGGGTCCTGAAAGCTGTTTTAAACTGATCTGCAGGATTCATTCTAATCTGATGGTATCCAGCCCTTAAATCCAACTTGGAGAAGATGACAGTACCATGTAATTCGTTGAGGAGCTCTTCAATATGAGGAATAGGAAACTTATCCTTGACAGTGGCAGCATTCAACTCTCTATGATCAACACAGAATCGCCAAGTACCATCTTTCTTGCCAATGAGGAGAACGGGTGAGGCATACAGGCTATGACTCTCCTTTATAAACTCTGACTTCAACATATCAGCCACTAATGTCTCAGCCACTGCCTTCTAGTGATGTGGGAAGCGGTAAGGACGAATGCTTATGGGCTTGGTGTCGGGCAGAAGTGGAATAGAGTGATCAAATGCTCTGGATGGAGGTAAGGGAGTAGGAGTAGCAAAAACATCCTGAAATTGGGAAAGAAGTGGCTTAAGGAAGGAAGTGGTTGTAGACACAGCGGACACGGGCTCAATAGTAATGGAATAGACAGCCCCTGTGAGATGAGGAACCTGCTTCTTAAGCAATTGCTGGAAGGAACGACCATTCATCATTTTACATTGACCCTCCTTTGTAAGACCTTGAAGGGTTAGAAGTCTCCCCTTCCAATAAAAAGAGAGTTGGCGCTTCTTCAAATTAACCTGAAATGGACTCACAATTTCTAACCAATCCCATCCCAGCACCAAATCATGAGCTAGTAATTCGAGAGTACGAACATCAAAATCAAACTCTTGACCCTGCATTTTCCAGCTAAACCCACGACAGACACAGTTACTCAATAAGGTATGGCCACTAGCTACCTTGACTCTCATGGAAGCAGCATTCTCTGTTCTACAATTCAACTCTTCTGCCTTAATGGAGTTAAGAAAGGTATGGGAACAACATGTATCAATGAGAACTGTGAACTCGCGTCTCCCTAAGTTGCTGGAATCAACAGAGAATTCCCAGATAAACCCGTACCCATTGACTGCAAAGAGACCTCTAATTTCGCATCCTGAAACTCGTCCTCCCCTTCATCATCGTCACTGTGGGAGAAAGAAGCATCTGCCTGCATCATCTGTAAGTGCTTCTTCTTGGAACAAACATGGTCGTGGAAAAACTTATCCCCACACTTGTAGCAAAGCCCTTTCCTGCGAGGAATAGAACTGCGATCCTGAGAAGAATGCGAAGGCAGCGGGGACTCATTTGGAAAAGACTTGCTAGATGAAACTGGAACTGAAACAGCACCACGACTAGGAGGAACAGAACGAAACTTACTTTTGCGAGCCTCAATAGCATATTCTTCCAATTGAGCTTGATAGAAAGTGCAAGCCAGAGTAGGGGGATTTAGCACCTGAACGCGGGGCTGGATTTCGTACTCGAGGCCTCCCAGAAAACTCATAATGAAGTAGTATTCGTTGAGATCAGGATTCAATCTCAACATCCGTGAACGGAGATCTTTGAAGTCCTCCTGATAGCGAGACACCGTCGATGTCAGCCGAAGTTGATTGAAAGCAACAATGACATTGAGTTTGAGAGTGCGGAGAATGAATCGGTGATCTGCGCGACTCCAACTGAAGGATGCGGCCATGGTGTCGATGTGGTCCTTCGTCGAAGCAGCCAACGCCGCAATGGCGTCTTTCAACTCTTGGTGTTGAGAAACCATCTTGAGCTGAACATCTGCCATTTGTGCCTCCAAATCAATGATTCTCGATGTATTAGTCGCCATTGTTGCCAGATTAAAGGCTCTGAATACCACTTGTAAAGATCATTTCTGAAAATCTGGCGAGTTGGACAGAAATGGAGAAGAAGAGAATACAGGGGAAGGAGAGTTCTTGATTTATTGCTAGCTATTGGAAAAGTAGTTACCCGAAGAATGATTGGATAAAAGCTGACCAGTTACCATTTAGCTCTCTCTATTTATACATGGGTGTACTTTACACGTCACTCATGCCAGCCTGGCTAGGTTTGTTACAGAATATCATCTCTAGCTTCGTAGTCCTGCATCCGATTTTGCATTGGATGTGACTTGACACAACCGTCTTTCATAATGGATCTCCAATTGATTGAACTACGTGACACCTCATGGGAATATTTCATAGGGTCCTTGTAGCCTGTCAAATCAGGTAAATGTCGCCGCGCAAGGTAGGAAGAATCCCATGCAGAGCTAAATCAACTTGCATGGGAAAGATATCCAATAACCTAGGGGACGCAAAATCTGGATGATCGCTTGCTTTCTGTTTTATTGTTATTGTTATTTATTTTACTATTTCTCATCGTCCCTTTTCAATCTTGTTTATAGTATTCTTTTATTTTTAGTATTTCTTGTAATCCAAGTAATAACTTCTGGTTTTGCATAGTCAATTAATTGGAAACCTCGAGTTATTACTATTGGAGTGACTCTTTTGTTACTCAGTAAATTTGACTGTGGATGATCCACTGACCTGAGTCTGGCATCGGTGAAATAGATTTAGAGTCACATGAGAGGAATGGATCGAGTAATTGTAAGAGTCAATGACCTGTGAAGCCTAATCAAACGAAAACAACTTAAAGCGACCACAGAATAACACTTCTCTTGGAGAACCGTTCTGAGGATTTGACAGGACTTTATATATATTAATTAATAATATGTAGTGAAGGAATTGTCACATGAGGGAACATGCATGAGGGTTATCGTCGCTGAAGAATGTGCCGGCGGCGGAGTGGCGGCCATCAAAGTCGACGGTTGAATGGATGGCCGGGTGGCGATAATATCCGTGGTGGTGGTTATCGTCGGAACCGTGCTTGTAGTAGTTGTAAGAGGATGAAGGCTGGGTAGCCGCGTGATACGTCAACGGACCACTCACCTGGTGCTGGTCGTAGTAATGGCTGGACGTGGAACTGTAGCGGCCTTGGTTGTAAGGAAGTTGCCACAGCTCCGCCCTTCTTCCCGTCCGCCGGACCCTCTTCAGCACCTTTTTCTGGTCGGCCCATCCCGTCACCGTCACCTTCTGCATCACCATATCTATCTCCACCTCGTCCACGCCTTCCAGCTTTTGGAGGGCATTTTTCACTTTCATTTCGCAACCTGCGCAGTCGATATTTACTCTCATCTCTGTGATCTGTATTGAAATATATAAGAGGGAAACGAAAAATAGTGATAATAGATTCGAAGAGGATCAGCGAACTAAATTTCATCTCTGTGATCTGTACAAATACTTACCGTCATTTTGTGATGGCTCCCAAGTGCTGTGACCTGCGTGTATATCGAATAGGATGCAATAATTACAAGGTTATCTACTTCGCTTATTTTATTTTTCTGACTACAAATGCAAGTGAAGTTGTGAACTCTTCCCTGTGTATATATAGAGCTGGGGAGAATTTGCTTGATGCTTCGCTTCAAGCTGAAAAGGAAGATAGAGTTGACCCTTCAAACTGAAGGTTTGTGAACGTTGATGTTGCGTTAAATTTTTGAACCGACTTTCGGTATATTATATATATATATATATATATTATCCACATGGTGTTCCTGTCTCTTAAACCCGAAGCAATCATTGGCTACTGGTTACCTCCACACGCTAATAACACTATCGAGTTCACATAATCGATAACCGAATCAGTAAACGATGGTTAACAGTTACACCGATAATCGATTCAACAGTAAACGATTAGTTATCTGTAGTCTATATTTAGATAATTAGTAATCCTAGTTGTGATGTCTCGATGAACCGTTGGCATAGAAAGAAAATAATGTGAAGTTTGAAGGACTGCAAGATTCTTCGCTTATCCTAGTTGTAATAATGACTTAATTAGATTCAAATGATAATAAATGATTTCTGGGAAGATATCTAGAAATAGCACAATAGAAAGATAGAGTTACACACAATAGCTCAACAACAATCAACAACATTAACCTTCAATGTAATTTGGAGGAGGTTTATGAGTTGATTAATTATTGTTGGGTGTGTTATTCTTGTTTGCTTCTTTAATCAAATCTGATGGTAGAATGGTGCTATTGTGTACTTGTGTTGGTTTAAGTTGATTATTGATTAATATATATGTTAAATTGTATTGTTTTTGCTTCAATAATAAACATGTCAAAAAGAAGCCATATTCAGGGAAAAATCTACAGAAATGTAAAATTGAAAAAAAAGAGGAGGTTTAATGTTAGTTAGGTTACCGATCGGTTATTTTGGTTAACCTTACCCAATCACTTGCTTAATGGTTATTGATAACAATGTATTTGCACATGTTACACCCTTATTTCTTATCCGTTTGCGGCTCGTAGTCGTGTATCTTTGGCCTATTTTACGCTGGGTTGTGCTATTTTGTCACATTTCAGGTCTAGACGTCGAATGAAGGGCTAGGCACGAGTTTCGGGGCGTTTGGAGGTCATTCTGTGAAGCTAGAATAAGAACAAGGGCAGACTACTCCAGAACACGGCCGTGTTCACTAAGGGGTACGCTAGTTCTTTTTAGTGCGCGAGCTGAATCGCTACAAGGAGCAAACACGGGCACGATTGACCCAAAACACGGTCGTGTCCCCAGCCCGTGCTTTTTATGCCGAGAGGCTGTTTGTGACTGCTGCTGAGGAGTCCAAAACACGGGCGCAGCTGCTCTGAAACACGACCGTGTCACTCCTTGGGCACGCCCGTGTTTTACTCGGCGCGAGCGTGTATTCCACACACGAGGTGAAAACACGGGTGGACAAAGTAAAACACGGCCGTGTCCTCGACCGTGTTTTGCCCAGTGTCGGGTTAAAAAGGCGAAGAACAAACCCTAGAGGTGATTTTGGATTTGGGTTTCATCAATCAAGCTTGGATTTCATTCTTGGAGTGAAGATTATCATCCCAAACCAGATTCTTCCCATCGTTATGAGTATGACTGCTTTGTATTTTGTTTCTCTCTCTCTCTCTCTCTCTCTCTCTCTCTCTCTCTCTCTATGGAGTAGAACTCTCTCTCACTTGGGTATGAAGAACCCTAGTTCCATGTGTTAGGGATCATGTTTGTAATGACTTTTGGACGCTATACTACTTGATTATAATCGATTGAGGCATGTTTTATTGAGTCAATTGAAGCCTGATAAACTTTTATTGATTTCTGCTGCAACCTGAGATAGATAGAATCTTATTAGGTTGTTAGAGTTTCCTCAAACGGTAGTAGTGAATTGGTTATACGAGAGTTAATTGATAACGATGTAATTGCACATATTTGCGCCCATAGTTCTTATCCGTTTGAGGGGCATAGTCGTGTGTTTTTGGCCTATTTTATGTCGGGTTGTGCTATTTTGTCATGTTTGAGGTCCCAGGTGTAAAAGGGAAGGCTAAGCACGAGTTTCGGGGCATTCGGAAGTCATTTCGGTGAAACTGAGCCAAAACACGGGCACACCTAAACCAGAACACGACCGTGTTCTGAGACCGTGCTTTTACTGCCGAGAGCTAATTCGAGTTTGGCAAACATTGGCCAAAACATGGGCAGGGCTGACATAGAACACGGGCGTGCTTCACCAAAGCACGGCCGTGTCCTCCCAAAAGCACGGCCGTGTTTCTCCTAGTGTAATTAACACTAGCCAAAGCACGGGCGGGCTGAGGCATTACACGGCCGTGCCCTCGACCGTGCTTTGGCCACTGATGCCTTTTTAAGCAGATTTTCAGCCAAAGAGAAGGGGATTCGAGTTTTAGAGAGAGAGAGATCAGTTCCTAGAGAGAGAAAGCGACGAACAAGAGTCTCCAAGTGCCCTAGATTGATCTTCAACACCATTGGAGGCCAGTTTGAGCTTGGAGAAGTGCCGATCAACGTCCAGGAGCAGGAATCCATCCTTCACAGTATGAATTCCGCGTTTGATTTTGCTTTTGCTTCTTTCTCCATGGAGTAGTTCTCCCATTCATCTGGGTATGGAGAACCCTAGATTCGTATGTTAGGCTTTGATTGTATGAACCCAAGTACTGATTCTATGATTTGATTATATTCGATTGAGGTTTGAATGATTGAATGACTTGAATCCTGATCAATTCCTGTTGTTTCTGCTTTAACCTAGAATGAGAATATCTTCCTAGGTTGATAGAGCATCCTTGATTGAAGGTAGGGAGTTGGTGACTTTAGTCGAGGAGCCAACTCACTATTCTGTACCGGATTTACTCCGGTAGTGGAGGTTTTGTTTGTTAAGGCCTCAATCTGTTTACTCCGGTGGAGGTTAGTCGCCCCCTAGAGACTCAGATTGAGAGGGTCTGAAGACCTTTAGTCGAGACTTCAGGCTGTTTAAGAACCTTCCGCAGTATAACTATCATAGAAACTGAACTTGGTAATTACAATCCGGCTTAACTGCAGTCTAGGGGGAACCATATCCGGGTGACCTCTCTTAACCTGAATACAACTGTTTACTTGCTTTGCTAGTTTGTTAGTTTAGACTTGCATTAAAGTTTCATTGCTAGATAACGAGAATTCACTGAGTAGTCATCAAATCTAGGACCCGGGTTGATAATTAAACCTAAACCCGCTATACTACGCTTTAGGAAGTGGTTTCACTTGGCCAATTCCTAGGGTGACAGTAGAAGTGAGTCAAGTTTTTGGCGCCGTTGCCGGGGACGACTAGGTTGTTGAAGAAAAGTGATTTCTGTTAATTTAGCTTTTCTTTTCACTTTGTTTGCTTTGTCCCACTTGTGCCTTCACGGGTTTGCTTGCTTGAGTGTGTGCAGGTAGTGCATGATCCGTAGCCAGTCGGGAGGTTTACTGCCGTTGAATCCAGAGATTGACCGCACCTGTCGCCAACTCAGGAGACAACAGCGAGCTAGACTGGCTACGGAAGAGCGCATAGACGGCCACTTGAGTAGCGATTCTGAAGAAGAGTATGAGATGGACGGAGACTACAATCAGCACCAGGGAAATCCTCAGCAGGTTCCCCCGGTGAATCAGGTCCTGGGGAACAACCCCATATCCCATGATCATGGGGTTCATCATCCACCGCCTCCGGGCCCCACCTTGGAGTACTACTACACTCCTCGGATTGCTAACATCCGCCCGGTCATCCTCTACCCGCCTATTCCAGCAAACAACTTCGAGATCAAGCCATGCTGGATTCAGCTCATTACATCTTCTATCCAGTTCCATGGCTTGAAGGATGAGGAGGCCAGGGTGCATCTTTCCCGTTTTCTGCAGCTGACAAACGGGTTCAAGCTGAATGGTGTCCCTGATGATGCAATCCGCCTTCATCTCTTCCCCCATTCTCTGGCGGGGAATGCTAAGAGGTGGTTGGAGACCCAGCCCCCATTGTCCATCACCTCTTGGGACGATCTGGCTGACAAATTCGTGAACAGGTACTATCCGGCATCAAAGACTACAGAGATCCAGCGGGAGATCACTCACTTCCGCCAAGAGCCAGATGAGTCACTTCGTGATGCATGGGAGCGGTACATGGGATACTTCTGGCAGTGTCCCCATCATGGCTTTAGTGATGCTTTCACAGTGGGGAACTTCTACAGTGCTCTCTCTCCAGACAGCCAGAGGGTGATTGAGTCTCTATGCCCAGGAGGGGATATTCTTACTAAGACTCCACCCGAGCTGAACCAGATGATCAATACCTTGGCTGCCAGAGATCATTCTTGGGGACAGGGTAGCCGAGGCAGACAGTCCCGGGACCGTGGTGTGCACGCCATGGAGACCAGATCAGGGCTCGAGCAGCAGGTAGCTGAGCTAGTGCAGACATTGAAGCAGCCCAACAGTCTTATTCCGTGCAGAGGTTTGTCTACACCTCCAGTAGCTCAATGTCAGTGGTGCGAGAGCTCCAATCACCTAGTGGAGGACTGCCAGACTATGAGGGAGACTACCACTCCCCAAGAGCAGTTGGACTTCATCGCCAATGCTCGGTGCCTCGACCCGTACAGCAACACATATAATGAGGGGTGGCGCCAGCATCCCAACTTCGCCTGGAGCAGCAACACCACCAAACCACCTGGTTTCTCAGCACCAGCAGGTGGTTTTCAGCAGAGGCAGCCCTTCTAGGCTCGACAGGGGCCAGCCCCACAGCAGCAACCCTACCAGCCTAGGCAGGGGCAACCATTCCAGCAGCCCCAGCGCCAGTTTGTCGAGCCAGCAGCAGCTCCTGCCCCAGATGACCGGATGACAAAGCTGGAAAATATTCTAGCTTCATTCATGACTAGCACTCAGGCTGCTATCACGTCACTAGAGTCAGGTCAGCGGAACCAGGGTGCCATTTTGCAAGATCTGCAGACCCAGGTGGGCATCTTGGCCCGCCAAAACACTACCAGGGCACCGGGGACTCTACCTGCCACCACTATCCCGAATCCTCGGGATCCTCACCAGCTCCAGCAGCTGGATGCCATTTT